CCATTACGACTGTAAACAGCTGCACAGCCAAGCATGGTTGTACACATGGTCCGGTCTAGAAGTCATATCTGGCGGTCGCGCAATTTGGAATCAGAACTGGTTCTTGAATATAGGCTTGTCACCGGAAATCTGGTACCGGAAGTAAGCTTGGCCCCGTCTTGCATATCGCAAGTTGGCGCGCTCAAAGGGTGCCGGGACCCAACATAGTACCGGAAGTCGCGCCTCACGAGACTTACAGGTCCAATATTCCGGGAGTAGTGGGGTTAGAAAATAAACAGTTCGTCGTGTGTATTTATTACCACATATGGTGAAACAACCCGTGTCATATACACTAAACGCCTAAAGAAACGTTACCCTCCATCCTAATGACGGAGGTACCTATCTTCAACTGGCGTTGTGATGCGTTGATGTCCACTTCTTGGTCTGTCTACGGTGACCCCAGTCTGTCTGAAGCCCTGAAGAAGTCTTATATACGTGATACGGTGGCATCCGAGGGCGTTGGCAAACAACATTGTATGTCGACCTCATCTGCACCAACCCAGTGGCTCTTTCTCTCTCTTCTGCTGTTAATCGTGGCATATTTCTCGTACTTGTGTATCATGTCATCTTTTCTAGGCTCTCTTCATACCCTATAGAATCATTCTACATGTGAAATGGATGCAAACACTGCTTGAATTTTGGCGATTGATATTGCAATGTGTAAACAGAAAATGGAAAATGTTACTTTGCAAGCAAAAATGTTAACACAGATCATTGTAGATGTTCCTAAACATTTTTCACAATATCCAAGATACGTTTTACTTGTTTTCACTAATGCAAATCAGCAGAAAATGTTTTAAAAGACTGAAATCATAGGAATGAGTATTTTACAATTTTACAAAATCTACAATAGTTGTTTCTTGTTTTAATAGTTGAAAAATGTTGACTTTAAATGGTTTATCTTTGTCCCAAAGCAGAATTTTAGTTCAACCTTTCTTTTGACATCTAAATCACTGTTATTGGTTTATTTCGGCATGGGCGAAAATAGGACAATTTAACTCTTCTGAAAAAGATGCATTTCACCTAAATATGAATGCATTTGAGATTATTTTTTGTCGTGCTTTGCATAAAGCTGTGTTGTTAAGCTTTCTTGTAAACTAATACCTCTAACTATCTTTGACAGTTTTTAAGTAATTCATAAAGGTAGGAGGGTAACGTTTCTTTTGGCGTTTAGTGTATATCATACGTACACATATCACTTTTGCCTAGCAACCATTGTTTCTTTTTTTCGTCGTCTGTGACGCCATTAAACAATTGAACGTGACGTCAACGAAGAGGGCCGTCACACTTGCTTACCGTGTTTTACTGCACAAATATACATGAATAAAATGGATAATAAAGAAATTATTACACTCGAGCACGTGTGTCACACGACTTATACGAAAATCGTGCAAAAATGTCACACTCGTTTCGTACAAGTTGGTATGACACACTTGCTCGTGTAATATCTATTTATTACTGAGCGAAGAACAATCTTGTTTTAAATTTAGATAAATAGACAGCATTAACACTGTGTCGCAACTGCGGGCGACACAGAACACTTGAAGAGGAATCAGCCGATCGAAGGAGGCCTGATAACGGCTAAGTCCCAAGATATCCAGTAACCCCGGACATGCAGTTGCATGACACACTTCTCGGAGTGTTGTCGGACAGATGATCAATACCCGGATGTCTTCGGGGAATAGTACATAACAACTACACTATATGTTCAGGGGTTCTTAAATTATAGTCTTTGTGTACGATAATGGTCTCAGGCTCAACTAATAGTACACGCACGTGGTGATTTCGGTGTCGGATGCATTGAAAACCTTTTATACCTTCTTACTGTGACATTAATGCCCCCACTTGCTCATCTTGCACCGCTATAGGATTTATACAATATCATGTAGCTAAACTGTCAAATGACTTACTAAGAAATAGCTGTCTGGATGTATGATACAATTATATCACTGTCTGCGTAAAGATCAACGGACTGAACATTTCTCGAATGCAGAGTTTAACACATTGTGTTCGGCAATGGAATGGGTCGTGTTATCATACAACCATTGTGTTACATCATTCGCGGTAAATGAATTCCGGATGTTATTAAAACAGACAGTAAAATTCCAATAAAGACCCACTTAACTAGAAATGAAGACTGACCTAAGTAGAATGAAGACCAACATAACAAGAATGGACGATGGTCGGTTCGAATCACCACATGGGTACAATGCTTGAAACGTAACTGGTGAATCCCGTCTTGATATTGCTGGAATCAAATACGTATATACACTGTATATATGTCTTTGTTGGAATCCCAATTGCGCAGATCGATGCTCATGTAGTTGATCACTGGATTGTCTAGTCCAGACTTGGTCATTTACAGACCGCCGCCATACAGCTGGAACATTGCTGAGTGCGGCGTAAAACTAAACTCACTCACTCACTTTGTTTGAACATTGCTAATGCGGCGTAAAACTATACTCGGTCACTCACTCTAAACAGAAGCTGTTTCGGCCTGACAATTCCTGATTCAAACAATGGACATAACGACCCTTTTATAAGTTCCAGGTTCTCACATAATGAACGAGGGAATACGCGTGTCACATGCACTGTTAATAACTTGTCACGGGCGACGCATAACGGTAGTGTCTATGTCGTCATCATGCGTAGTACGTTACAGTTAGTGACAATAGCGGTGGACGCAAAACGTCGTCATAAGTGACAGTAAAGTGGGGTATTTTTACTTTCAGTTAGTAATTATAGTGTTAGACGTAAATACATCGTGATTTCAGAGCACAAATACATACTGAGTCTGGAATCTGGAACAACAGTATTTATTTAATTACATTCCTCAAACTTTTATAGACTGCCCAAATGACAAAAGTCAAGAAATAATTTCTGTTAAAATGAAACAGATAGTGAATATGTGGAAATAAAGATGCCCAAGTACTTATCATTTAGATCTATCTTGTTTAAGCCCGAACAGTCCAACTCAACGTTTAAGTAACTTCATAGATGTGTAGACAGGTTCAATGGTAACACATGTTTACAGTTTTATCACTGTTTATTTGTTGAACTTGAACATGAAAAGGTTAGGTAAATTCACGTTCACGATTTGAACACTCAAACTGGTATAATAAAACACATAATTAAAACTCCTCCTAGCCAAGGCCAGTGGTGGACCAAATGTACATACATCTATTATTAATGACATAAAGTGCTAACTATATTTTAAGCATCAATAATACTTACTTATGATCTTTTGATTAACTGCTTTGAACGTCTGCCACTCAACGGCAACTTGCGATGGTCAATACCAAAAGTCGCATAGGTAAATAAACGCGAAATGAAATATTAAAAAAACTAAACGGAAATATAAAAACTTTAACTGCCGAACTTGGATTTCCTCTACGAAAATGTAATTACATTATGCACTTGTCCACAGATGTAATATTGAAACCACTCACAAACAAAGTCCTTCCAAGTTTTCTTCGAGATGAAACAGACTATTTAAATCACCTGTCGAATGTCATACCTGCTGTTCTAGTGACCTTTTCTAAGCGTAACACTATGCAGCCTAAAAATGTTAAAAACAAATCCTTTGTCCATCTAAATATTCACAAGATACAAACAATGAAACAAAATGTCACACACCTCAATGTTGAATTTGCTCAATCTTAATTGAAGAATGCAAACGTACATTTTAGGAAGACAAAGTATTGACTATCAAAACCAACATGAACTGCCGCAGCATATAATATGTTTTAACATGTGCGGGATGTGGTGAGAAATATATTGGAGAAACTGGAGTGCAACTAAAGGACTGAGTCACTGTACATATACAGCAAATTTCAGATCCAAATGTGCGATGTATAAATGTAAACAAACACATCGCTGAATGCGGGAATGACCAGTTTACTATCTCTCCGTTTTATCAATTTTTCAACGATGCTAAACAATTACGGATGAAAAAAGAACAATTGTTCATAAAGCTACACTTAATTCCACAGTATAATTCTGTAACATTCCCAATGTAACTCAATTTCTAAGATGCCTAGCGGTTTGAACAATCGAAAAAAAAATACATTATCAGACAATATGATGACGTAACAATTGAATGACGTTATCCCGTCATTGCGCCATTCTAGTGTGCCTCCTCGTCATCGAACCATTTCGCTCGCTTTCGCTCGGTCAGATACCATAGGAAAGACACTCGTTTCGAGGGGGGTTATTGTTTAACGTCACACACAGCAATAGTCCAGCGGCAGTCTGTAAATAATCGGGTCTTAACCAGACAATCCAGTGATTGATGTCATGAACACCCAGCTACGCAACTGGGATACGATATAGAGCACCAGTCAAAGTCAGTAAGTCTGGCCATCAGATCTCGTGAGACGCCTCTTATCCTCCAAGACAAGTCGATTTTAATCATTTTATAGGGCTATAGAGATCATGAAGATTGAGGACTATTTTTATGGATATACCACTTCTTTATTCTGTATAGGCGAAGTTTCGACATAGACTCTTATGTCGTTGTCAAGCAAGACAACGACATTAGAATCTATGTCGAAACGTCGCCTATACAGAATAAAGAAGTTGCATATCCATAAAAATAGTCCTCATTCTTCATCTACCCAACTTCTAGAATGCCAGTCAAAGACGTTATAGAGATCATGTATTGATATATAAGTTCCAAGGGTCGTGTATAAGCCCAACGTGCACAACTACCGACATCAAACCAAACGTATCTGACTTGTCTTCTCTATATATTATACATGTCTCTGGAGATGGTATACTTGAGCGGTTCCGAAGTACCATTTATTTGACGCTGTATTTATAGACATGTAGTACCGCGAACATGTCCTTATTGGGGCTGTGCTGTCCAAGCCAGTGCGTTCAGCTTAAACTGGTCTGTCAGGGGGGATTCTGCGTTGTAGCGTCGGTATTGATCGACCGTCACACCTGTCATCTGTCGCTATTATCCATCCGCGGTGAGTTGGCGAAAGCATATCACAGTGTCCGGTCGTAACCATCGGATCTTCAGGCCAGGTAGGTTATCTCAAACTTTCAGAAACAATAAAACAGGATTCCATTTCAGAACATGTGTATGTCGCTCGTGTAAATAACATGTTTCACCACCCGTGTAGATGCTTTGATGACATGATAGTCTTCATCATATTCAGCTGTTGTAAACCATGGCACGGAATTAGTAATAAGATGTGTCTTCCGTGGTCGGTGTCCAGTTTCTGTCTGTTAAACATAAGACTGTTCAGTGGATTATATAGTGTTTAAAATTCTTCAAAGGCATTTAGAAGTTGGTGTAGTAATACAAGACAAATCTTATGGATAACAACTTCTTGGTTTATTTTTCACAACGTTTCTGGGCTAGTTCTTGCCCCTTCTTCAGGTGAATAATGGTGATAGTGAACAGTACAGTATATATATAGATGTACAGGAAGCCAGATATGTAAATTGAGTATATACAAGGCAAAAAGGAGGTATAATTAAGTATGTACAAACAATGCAGTGAGATCAAAGAGCAGAATACAATGATAGGGTATGTTTTTACAATAAGGGCATGGGTGTGTCTACATAGTAGAGTGGTTAAAGCAGATTGAGTTTGAGAGTCTATGATTTCTGGGTGATATAGTGTTTGTTCCTGTCTATGGTGGGGTCTTTAACGCCTAAACAAATGCTTTGTGACACTTTAATACGCGGATGTGATGTAGCAAGCATTCCAAAATGCCGGCCTTCAAGGAATTTGCAACGATGTTCATATCATGATATTATTTTCTTGTCAGTATGTCGTTATGCCGTCGGTTAAACCTGTTACACCACAGCGGATGAGACTAGGGAATTTAACTGAATGGTTCAATCAAAGATTAATCCAGATTATCAAATCTACAAAACTAAACGTTACATTATATGAGTGATTATATTAAGATGAATATCATGTTGAGCTACCACGTTCTCCATGAACCCACAAAAAATGCTACAACGTGTTGGGTCATTAGTATGTAACTAGATAGAACTTTTGCCTTGCATTAGACAAACTACACTTGTTACTTAATTTGATTTTGTTCTGCAGCATTAACATACTAGATATAAACAACTGCTATCTATTTGATATTATTAGCAACCGTCAGATTTTATACTGTTATGTTCCATAACAATATCAGTCTATACATGTATTTTTGCGCAACGCGTTCATTCATCATAAAACCAGAGAAACTCCCTTGCCGTTGACGTTATAATAACTGGCTTAAGGCCGATCAAACAATTATATAAAGGTCTGAAGCCAGCCGTGGCTCGAGTCGATAAAGATTGTTTATGTGGTATAAATACAGTGCGCGTTAATACAGAGAATAGAGGACTCCAGTAAATGGGTTATTATATTATTATATCTCGCACTCGTCCTGTATGGGGACTTCTAGCTCTACAAATCTACACCGGATTAGTGGTTGCATGACAGAACGCTACGCCAACGCGTGAATATAAACATCACAGACTTGGATCAGGACATATTCCATTAAGATATTGTATGTCATAAGATAAATCCGCAACAGAATTTCAATCTAAACTAGATGCGATGTAACGTTGCATCTGCCTGAATATGTGCGTCTGTGTGCGTGCGTATACGTGCCTGTGTGTGCGTGTGTCTCTCTTTGTGGGTGTGCGTGCAGGTACGTCTGTGTGCGTGTCAATGTGTGCATGTACTTTTGTGTGTGTGTGTGTGTGCTCGCGCATGTGCATGTATATGTGTGTGAGTGTGTGAGTGTATGTATGTACATGTGTGCGCGGGTGTATGTATTTTACTATCCCCAAATCGAGACGTTTGGTTTCATGGTACCGATCTCTGAGCCCGCCAGACACTCACTGTTCTTATTGAACTCAGCAGTAACAACAGGAACAAAACTTAGTAGACCTGTCCGTTGGATGCCGGCCATTTAGTACAGGGAGCTTGGTGACATTTGAGACCTCTTCGTTTCTGTAGAGATTCATGTTATTGTCAAAACAGCTGCGTTGATGAACACCTCCGTAACCGCTGAGATTTGTATTAGTTTTTGAACGTCATTTAGATGTGATAAACACAGGGAGAGTGTTTCGGATGTCAGCTTCTGTATCATGAGAAACACAATGTTATGGAGTTTACGGTTCCTAGTTCATCAGGAACAGGATTATGAGATTAGCATTATTTTCAAAACACAGTTGCATTAATGGACGTATGCTAAATCGAATTGACGTCCCGTAATGCGCAGGGTTTGTGTAGATTGGTGTTTGGTATGCTTGGATAATATATGACAGTGAAGGCTGAAAGAGAACATTGTGATTCAGACGTCGATAGTTATGTCACTCACCAGTAAAAGAGGATTACTATTGGCAGAATGTTGACTTGTAGCCTCAGACAAATATGCTGAAAGAGAACATTGTGATTCATTAGTTATGTCATTCACCAGTAAAAGAGGAATACTATTGGCAGAATGTGGACTTGTAGCCTCAGACAAAAATGTTAAATGTTCGTCTTTATGGTTGTCAGTGACAAGAGGCGTCTTATGCCACATGAGTCTGATCGCAATCATCCTCATGTGTTCCCCCACCAGGTCATCAAACTACATGCCTCCGCCCACAGATGCTGCTAGACTAATGCTTAGTCTCTGAATAGATATAACTGTGATAGTAACAAATAAACCTATTATGAATTGAAAAGGAGCCTCAGGGAGACCAGAGATTCAGAACCTGGGGAAATCTAGACTTGCTTCATTTAGGGCTTTAGCACTGCAGGGAAGGCTAGGCTGTAGGTAAATTAATGTATACTCATGCCAATAATGGTTGTCACACACACACACACACACACACGCCCACACCCACACACACACACACACACACACACACACACACACACACAACACACCACACACACACACACACACACACACACCACACACCCCTCTCCAATTAAAAAAATTGAAGGGGATGACAACCATTATTGGCATGAGCATAGTTCAGGGACTGTGAGACAGACTAAAATGCTGCCTGTAGTGTTTGGTCTGATGTATACTAATAAGCATTCCCCTGAGTACTTATTAAGTTTCGTACTGTCAAGGTTTATGGAGGATGGTACTGAACATGGGCTTGTTTGTTCCTGTCGGAATCTGATGCCAGGAAATGGTTTGGAATTCTGTTAGTTTACCATTGATTCCACTTCCACAACTTGCAGCTGGCTTCGCGCTGAAGAATGCGATGCACGTGTCATCAATATAGCTGGAATCACATCACTGCAGTTTTCAGCTGCTCACCCATACAAAAGTTTCTGCCCTCGACCAGATTATTAATTGGTCTTTTGCTCATCCCGTTTGACATTTTATGTCAATAATATATGCTAAAAGGAAATAAACAGTGGCACAAACAGGTTATATCATGTTGATTCGTACTTGAGTGTGTCTAGTGATATTGCTGGAATATTGCTAAAAGCGGCGTAAAACTAAACTCACTCACTCAATGATATTCTGTATGTTTCACTAGCTTATTATTCATTACCTCACAGCTGTGTTTCGCTGTGTCTGTAGCGAGATGTTTCACTGTGTCTGTAGCGAGATGTTTGGTTATTCTTGCCTCTGACAATTCAGAGACCTATAGCGTCGATAACAAAGTGTTTGCATGGACAAGCGGTTCACATTTTGTCGGTGAAGGTGATTTAGCGCGTAGCTACATGTACAGGAAACACCTTGAGGCAAATTGAGTGAGTGAGTGAATTTAGTTTTACGTCGCTTTTAGCAATATTCCAGCAATATCACGGCGGGAAACACCAGAAATGGGCTTCACACATTGTACCCATGTGTGGAATCGAACCCGGGTCTTCGGCGTGACGAGCAAACGCTTTAACCACTAGGCTACCCCACTACCCCACATGGGGCAAAGCTTGTATATCTTCCTTAAGTGGCATTTAGAAGCTGGTTTGATGAAGAGGAACACGTTTTATGGATGGACAACTTCTTTATTGCAGTGGATGCGACATTTCGGTGTAGATCCTAACACTGTTATCATAAGCCAGCTTGATAACAGTGTCACTATCTACACTGAAACGTCGCATACGTTGCAATAAAGAAGTTGTCCATCAATAAAAGTGTTCTGCCTCTTCAAAACCTGTATAGCTGGATTGATGCTATATTATTTACAATCTCATAACAAACAGTAACTGCTTATTTAGATACGTTTCTCATGCAGATGCTTTAACAGTTCGTTTTACAACACGATCGAAATTAAATTTTCTAAGGTTTTTCTTTTCAAAAGAGTTGCGGCTCAGAGACTGTATACTGTGTGTCTCTGTGAGTATATTCATTATAAACTTCGGCCAAGAGTATCTGTGAGCTGGCAGTACGAAACCGCATTCGCCCGATCAATTACAAATACGGTGTCCTCCTGAGCTAACAAAAACATCTGCGCGCACACACACACATGCACACACACACAAACACACGGGTACGCGCGCACGCTACGCGTACATGCACGTAGCTTTATTCGTGCAAATGCTGAATAGCAAACGTTAATCTTAAGCTCACCTCACCTCACCTCACCTCGCCTCGCCTCGCCTGTAATCTTACACTGTACACAGCCAATGGCTTGTCAAGACCATGGGTAAATCTATATCGTTTTGAAACGTGTCATATCTTGAGTCAACTTTTCTTTTCAAAGTGGTATTTGAAATTAGAGAATGAAAACAAACAGACACGAATATTTACAAAGACTACGTGTATTCCCCACTTCAATTCAAATTTTCTAAATCTACAGAGAGCATCTCCATACTCTACCATTGAGTGGATAATCTCTGTGTAATTGTAAGTAAGGTAGAAAATGATGTGCACCGCATGCCAGCTAAATGATTATGTACACAGATCTCTTCTATAATCACGATCCTGTCCTTGTAAAGATTCTCGGATGTATATTGTCCCAATAAAAGCACAAGAGGAAGGTCAAGTTATATATCGATGTCCCCGGTTTCTCGTGATAACAACCGCAGCACCAGCTCCTAACCGTTATACAACATTCTA